CATTGAAGACACTACTTGTCTGCTAAAAGCACTTTGGTAATTATTCCTACATCTTCTAATCTGAGTGGGACAGCCGATAAGTTCTGTCTCACATAATGGCTTAGATGCACTTGAACTCTGCAGCCCATTTTTGGGATAGTCTGTATTTTCTTTTTTGAAGAAACAGTTCCAGGCATTTCTCCCTCCCCAGTGCAGTTGACAGTAGAATATTGGCCTCTTGGCTGTAATAATTTAAAACTGCTTTCTGGTCTACCTTTCCATTCTGTGAGGTGGAGCCAAAAATGCACTTAAAAGTGGAGGGTGGGAGGGTTTGTATAGTGCGGGTTTTCCCAATATTTGGTCTCCAGCTGTTTTTGGATTATAACTATCAACCTTAGCTAGCAGGACCAGTGGCCAACGATGGTAGGCATTGTAGTCCACAAACAGCTAGAGACCCAAGTTTGGGAAACCCTAGTATATTGGTCCAGTTAATCTTCACTGAGACCTGAGCACACCTTATGAAGGATTTCCATCCTAGCCTCTTGTTGAAATAAGACCAGTTTTAACGTGTGCTTAAACCTTTTTCTAAAGCTGCAATGGTGTTTGTATATATATCATTTTGTTTGACTGGTGAATGGCTTAATTTAGAATGCAAAACTGATAGTCCTGATGGGTTTTTACGTGGCTGAGTTTGCAATAGCAGGCGGATCCTTATTCTGTTGAGGGAGACGAGACCTGAGGATTCACGAAGTAATGCTCGGTTTTGGCATGGTAGCATAACCACAACAGAGGAGAGCACGCCAGGATCCGAAACCTAAGTAGCTTTACAAAATCCGGGAGGCTTGCAGATGGTTGAGCTACTAGGAACGGCTAGCAAGCATAGCTCCGAATGGCTTCCAGCTCAGACGCTACCACAGCTGAGAGTAGACGCGTGTTGAGTCGAGTGGACAGATAAGCCAGGTGCAGGCTTCTGCTGACTAGAAAAGTGCTCAGTGACCACCGGAAGGAGGCAGACGAGAGTAAGGATCCTTGCTCTTAGGACTAGCAGTCAGACGCAGAAGGAAGGAAAGGTTATATTACTGTACTGGTAGGTAAGAACAGATTTTACTTATGTCCTATACAGTTTTGTTATCCTGCTAAACTTTTCTCAGAGGCTGAGTTTACCTTGTAAATACTAGTTGAGCTACTTAAATTTTCCCAGTGCTGTAAAATAAGCATTAGATGGGTAGAACATAATATTGACTTGCCTATTTTTTTTTATAAAAAAAAATTAGTCACAACATGGGTGATGAAATGTACTTAATGAAAGCACTGCCTCTTATCTCCTCCTCGGGTAGCCTCGTGGACTTATAAAAGCATAGTACCACAATGCAATGGCTATACTGCTGTAAATGCAGACTACTTTGGGGGGAGGGGACTCCCATGCAAAGTACCTGTTAAATGTAATAGGGTGAGGTCGTATTGAGTATTTTAACACGTCTTCCTCTTTATAGGAGAAGAGCTGTCCGGTGCTAAAACACCTGCTCCAAGACAAATGGACTAGGATGCCCCTGGATCTCATTTTCTGTTAAAACCAGGTAAAACCAGCCAATCCTAAGAAGGTGGGTGAGGCAGAATGTGGTGAAGTGACTGGGTGCAATAAAATACAAGAAGCACTTGATAGTTAGCTGTAGGATAGAATCATAGAATTGTTGGAAGGGACCCAAGGATCATCTAGTCCAGGCATAGGCAAACTCAGCCCTCCATATGTTTTGGGACTGCAACTCTCATGATCCCTAGCTAACAGGACCAGTGGTCAGGAATAATGGGAATTGTAGTCCCAAAACATCTGGAGGGCCGGGTTTGCCTATGCCTGATCTAGTCCAACCCTCTGCAATGAAGAAATATGCCAGGTAGCTGCTATGCAGAATGAACCTATAACCTTGGCAATATGAGCACCACACACTCGAATCAGAGGTGTCCAAACTTTTTTCAAAGAGGGCCAGATTTGATGAAGTAAAGGGCCATGAGGGCCGACCAAAGTTGTTGAGGGTTTTTTTGTGTGTTTTTTTTTAGGGTTTTACCCCAGGAAATAAACTGCCATGGGCCGGATTAGGCCCACAAAACGGACTTTGGACATGCCTGCTCTTAATCAACTGGGCTAACTTTCAATGGATTCCAGTATTTTGTTTTATTTCTACATTGATAGGCAAATACTAGGCTGCGTCTAGGAATGAAGACTAATACTAATGTGTGTTCAAATGTTCCCTGTGTTTCATCCTTTGTTCTTTTCTTGCAGGACTCTTCAACTTCACGTACCACAAAGCTTTCCAAGAAAGTTTAAATGGCTACTGGGTAGCTGTATACATAAACTATTCATGTGAATAGCTGTTAAGTAATTATTTTTTTTGTAGCAACTGGGTTGCATTTTCAGAGTTGTCAACTTCTAAGGCAGTAGTGAATTCCATAATATTCTGACACAGTCTTCTTGGCCTTCATATAAAAACAGGGTTGAACTCCCACTTCATTGTGCACCTTTCATTGCAGAATTTATTGAAGTTGACCTACAATTATGTCTTCAGATTTCAGCTGCTCAACACCTACAATTTCTCCCTTCCATAAATAAAATGGCGGGGGCCAAAACCCCCATCTTAATAAATTGAGCAATATTTTGCATTTCTTAGCATTGTTTTTCAAGCAGGGACGGACGCAGATAACTCGGTTGAGGCGCTCTGCTCCTTACACAGCGCACACACAGCTTTGTTGAAATAATCCTGCTTCCCTGAAATACATTGGGTGTCTGTATTTGCTCTAGCAGCCAGTTCCGTCAGGGTTTGTAAAACACAACCGCCCCACAAACCTTCGATGCACAAAACCAAAATGACTTAAAATACTGATGCTACAATGCAAAGGGAAATGCAACATGAGGCACGATTTAACCAAACAAGTTTATTCTGTAGAAAGATTTAAGTGCAACTTATTTACACATTGTGAAGTGGCCATGCTGCTTTGCAGGCCAGATGTGTTTTGATGCCACAGTTCTCTCCTGCACAAGTGTGTTCTGCCCAACACCCTGGTACACTTATACTGGGGGATGCAGGTGGCCTGCATTTCTGGAAAGCAGCATGCATTTTAAGAGACCACATTATGTTGTTGATTTCCATGGGTAAAGAGCAAGGGGTGATCTACCAGAGCTAGTGCAAGCCTGTCCCATAATAAGCTGGTGTAGCATTTACAGAGGCTTCAAACTTCTGAGCCACAAGCTAGCCTCCCTGCTAAAACTCAGGTTTGTAATACGTAGTTGGCTAAAACAATTTTGTACCGCACCTCAACAATCTGGAAGCGACAGTAAGATCCCCAAACAGCATCTGGTTCTTAAAAGCCTCTGCTCTTTCCTGAGCCTTAGTCAAGTAGGCTTGCATAATTTATTCTAGCAGAGCACGGGTCATAGAACCAGTTTTGGTTCCTCCTTGCAGTTTTTTTGTGGAAGGGTTCATTCACTTCCTTTTGTCTCATTTCTAAGCACAGGTCTCTGGCGTGTGGTTTGTTTTGGTGTCTTTACACTGTTCACCACTGAATTGGAACAAATATCAATTGGATTTTCTGTGGATTGATGTTTGTTCTGATTCAACAGTAAACTGGGTTTTCCTCGCGAAAGTTGCAGAGCAAAAGGGAAACCTTGGATTTGTATACGGGACTTGTGGGGAAAAGGGCACTGTGGGTGAGCCTTGTATTTAACTTCAAATGCCTGAAGTGGCTTGTAGCCAACAGCAAGCATAGTTCCACAAAATGGGGGGGAAACGGGGGTCTGAAGAGTCCTGTGTGCTCTTAATGGAGCATGACTATGGCTAATTCTGAAAAGATTGCAAGCAGCCTCATTTTCTGTTGAATTTTCAGATAGGTTGAAATTTTGTGGCTCCTACATTTTGGAAGCACTCCCCTACCCCCAATCTTAATATTCTGCACTGGAGGGTATGCCAACCCCTTTTGAGAAACACTGGATTCAACTCCACTAGTGCTAATTCATTTGGCCCTCTAGAGTATCATAGAATCATAGAGTTGGAATAGACCACAAGGGCCATCGAGTCCTAAATTTAAGAAACAGGCTGTCTGGGCTAGACTCCCAATTCCCAACATCAGGCTTGCTTCCTGAGCTTGTGAGCTGAAGTCCATCATCTGGAAGACCTTACGTTTCCCATCACTGTTCTAGAGACCTTGTGGTTTCCGAAGACCAGGAAGGCAGGGTGGGTGGAGAATTAATTCTGATCAGAATTAAACGAGTTGCTATACCTTTTGTTAGGAGACAGATCTAACACCACCATACAGATCTTTTTTTCAGTCTTGGTGCTGCATGCCAGCGGGTGGGTGGAGGCAGGGGCAAAAGTGATGCAAGTTGCTTTTGCACAGTAGAATAATAGAATCTTAAAGAGTTGGAAGGGACCCAAGGGTCATCTAGTCCAACCCCCTTGCCAGGAGGCAAATTTCACACTCTATGCAACCTTTCCACTGAGGTAAGCAAGAATTCTTGGGCATGTGTCATTGAGGCAGCACTTGAGGTATAAAGCAGGAGGCCATGCATGAGTTCAGAGGGCCATATAAAGAGGCTTGGAGGAAGATTTGGTTGGTCCCTGGCTTGAGGTTCGAGGTTCCCCACTCTCTTCCATAATGGTCTGGGAATACAGTCGTAGCCTGGTTGCCAAACAATGTATTCTGAGAGTCCTGCAGCCAATCAGAAGCTGCGCTGGACATTTGGCTTCCAACAACCAGAACACTCCCAGTTTTCAATCGTTTGGGAGCCGAAACGTTCAGCAACTAAGCCGTTTGAGATCCAAGGTACGACTGTACTGCCTTCAGTAAACAATCTGGGAAAGACTAAGCTTAGAAATGGTGTGTGGATGAAGCAAATAATGTCAAGCTAACAAAAGTGATTAGTTTGGCTAGGTCAATAGTTCTTTGGTTAGATTCTAGTTGCCTTCAAGCTCCCAGAGCTGTTTCCCTCTCCCAATTCTGTAAATCGGTTGTGTGTTTAAAGAACAGCTAGATACAGTCATAAGCACTTTTAAGTTCAGAAGCAATTGCATTTGTTCAGTTACAAATATGTATATGCGTTCATTTGCCATGTGGCTTGCAATAGACCATGCTCCTCTGTTTGGGTAGCCTCAAAGCCTGAGGTGGAGGCTCCTTGAGTCTCCTTGAAAATAGTGCAGGGTTGCTTATTTTGGGTCTATTCAATCCCTGCAATTCCTCCCCCCAGAATCTGCTCTGTTCAGTCACTGGGGTTGTCTGGCTGGTTGTTTCGCGGTACTAGGAAGACTCCGCCATCTGCCGCGAGCTGCAGCACATACTCTTCAGGGGAGTAAGTGTTGCCAGCTTCGTCGCGCAACATGCAAAAGACCTGGTGGTAGAGAGCCCCCAACTTTTGCTTGGTGAGCGCTAGGGTCCTGTTAAACTCTCCTCGGTCCTGTAGCAGCCGCTGCCGCTCGCAACTCAGCTCCTCCAGCTCCCGCTCCAAGTGAACCAGGGTCTCTAGCTTGCGCTTGCGGCAATTCTGAGCCGCCACTTTGTTCTTGCCGCGCCGGCGGATGTCTCTGATCAGAGCCAGCTGAGGCTCGCTCAGCGGGAAGCGTGTCACCAGCTCGTTGAAGTCGTCCACGGGCAGATTGATGATCTTCTCGACTGGGAAGGGGATGTTCATGGCAAGGGCCCGCCGCTCGTCCCGACTGCCCACCAGCTCCCCACGTGGGCTCCGCCCTTTCTCCAAAGAATGTTCCAGGGGTGGGTTGGCGCAGGGCAACTCTGGCACAGGGGGCAACATTGGGTAGGGTGGTGCATGGTCCATGGGGTACAGTGGCGCATACTCTGCCCTCTCCAGCCCCTCTGCTTCTAGGGACTCTGCATCGCTGTAGTTAAGGGACAAGCCAGAGTCTGATTCCAAGTCCTCTTGGGGCTTGCAAGGGCCTTGTGGCCCATAGCAACTGGCCAAGTCCCTCTCCAGCACCATCCCTGGTGCCCCTTTACATTCGCCCAGAATGGCAGGTCCAGGAGGCTCAAGGGAGGACGAGATCAGCATGCCGGTGTAGCTGTAGACAGTGCAAGGGCCTGGCAGAGTTTCTGGGAAGGGGCGCTCGTATGCTGGAGCAGGATGGCTGTAGGAAATCGAACAGTCCCCCATCTCTGTGCACGGCCCGTAGCTGGGAGGTGGCACCATTGGTTGTGCATGGCTGCATAAGGCAGGGTCATAGCAGCTTTCAGCTGGCATCTCAAGGCCCTGCAGGGATGAGAGAGAGGTGCTGAGCACAGGCTTAAAAGTTCACACAGATTTCCCTGCATACAAGGGTGTAGAGTCACAGCTGAGGCTTAGGAGGAGGGAGACACCAATCAAGATCCAGAGTAAGGGTCAGCAAACCTTTTCAGCAGGGGGCCAGTCCACTGTCCCTCAGACCTTGTCGGGGGCCAGACTATATTTTTTGGGGGGGGGTGAATGAATTCCTATGCCCCACAAATAACCCAGAGATGCATTTTAAATAAAAGGACGCATTCTAGTCATGTAAAAACACGCTGATTCCTGGACCGTCCGCGGGCCGGATTTAGAAGGTGATTGGGCCAGATCCGGCCCCCGGGCCTTAGTTTGCCTACCTATGATCCAGAGATTCAGAAAGCAGAACTCTGGCTCTTGTTCTAAGCTGTTTCCCGACTGCTGACCCCTTAAGTTCCAACTTCCATGCAAATGAACTCCTGTTCCCTCTCTCAGTTTAACTCCTTCGATTCCACCTACACCTTCCGGTTCCTTTTCCAACAGAGGCCTCCGTAGGTAGCAGCTTTCTCCTAACAATTTGCTCTCCCCAGCCATCTATTTACCCAGCACGTTGCTCTTTGATGACTAAATAGGTGGTGTTCCAGTCTGAGCATCCCTCAGTCACAACCCTCATCTACTCATTGGCACGCCCTTCTGCTGCAAAGCACACTATGCAGGGGCGGAAGAGGAGCGAAGGAGCCCCTGCGCAGGTGCCTACCTGGCGGAGATGGATGGGTTGATAGCATTCCCCCTAAGAACAAAAGGCCGATTCATCTCATCAGACAGATCCCGCATTGTGCGCCGTTCCTCCCCACCTTGCATCTCCCGAGGGTCAGGTGCTGAATGGGGCAGTGTTGGGAGAGTCATCATGAAGGAGGCAACTGTGCGCAATGGATACCTGCCACTCTGCAACTGACTTGGTCCACGCCTCCGCGGAGGACCTAAACCCCCATGCAGAGCTCCAACGCTGTCTAGGATGCTACATGTTCTTCTTTCCTCTCCCTAATAGCTCCTCCTTTTTCACGTTAGCTCTGAAGGAAACTCCACGGAGGTCAAGGAGACCTGCTCCCAGGCAAATGCAGAGAGGACTACCATCTTTGCTTCAGCAAAATGTTTCCATAGCAATACCAAAAAAAAAAGTTGGACACCCTGTTGGTTTTCTCCCTGGACGCATTGTTTAGGAGCTGGGCTGTTACGCTCTTGCAAGACATGGGAGGGTTTCAATCTTGCATTCTTCTGAGGTTTTGCAAAAGGACAAATAATGATAAAAGGAAGGCAGCTCCCCCCACTTCGAAGCAGCAGGGATGAGTGATGGAAAAGGAGGAGGGAGAGTAGAGTGGAATGCCCTCCTTGAAGGAAATGGCTGGAGTTCTCTTTTAGGGGGCACGGGTAAAGGTAAAGGGACCCCTGACCATTAGGTCCAGTCGTGGCCGACTCTGGGGTTGCGGCGCTCATCTCGCTTTATTGGCCGAGGGTCAGCTTCCGGGTCATGTGGCCAGCATGACTAAGCCGCTTCTGGCGAACCAGAGCAGCACATGGAAATGCCATTTATCTTCACGCCGGAGTGATACCTATTTATCTACTTGCACTTTGATATGCTTTCGAACTGCTATGTTAGCAGGAGCAGGGACTGAGCAATGGGAGCTCGCCCCGTCGCAGGGATTCGAACCGCCGACCTTCTGATCGGCAAGTCCTAGGCTCTGTGGTTTAACCCACAGTGCCACCCGCGTGCCATGGGACAAGGATACACTGCAGATATTCATTGGTGGTTTCACTTGCTAGTTTTATAATCTCCAATACTAATGCTGCAGATGATAGTGCTTCCATCTCATCCTAAAGCTCTTTGCTAGCCTGAGTGGGAGAAAGACAAACAGGAAGCCAAGATGGATAAGAAGGAGCCCAGTGGCCTTTCCCCTGGGGGGGGGGAGGGCTGCCCCTGCCCAAATGCCACAACCTCGTAGATAAGGTTACCAGACATCCCTGTTTCCTGGGGACAGTCCCCGGATTTACAAACCAGTCCCCATACAAAATCCATTGAAGGTGAAAAGTGTCCCCAGATTCATTGAAAAAAAATCTGGTAACCTTAAAACTGCAGCAAAGGAAAAGGATCTCTCAATGCGTAGTTAAGGACTATTGTGACATCAGCAGCCAATCCCATCTCTGCCCCCTCTGTTATGTCACAGAACTTGAACACTGGTGGGGGGCATGCAATGTGTTCATAGTACTTTCACTACTGTCTCTCAAGTAGCACAACTGCCCTGTTAAAGTAAGCCAATATGATCATCCCCCTATTGTAGGTGAGTTGTGCACATATCTCCTTTGTCGTCTCTGACATAATATACCGTATTTTCGCTCCATAGGGCACACCGGACCATAGGGCACACCTAGTTTTTAGGGGGGGGAATAAAGGGGGGAGGGAATTGTTTCCCCCCCCCAGCCCCAAAGAGCAAAGAAGCCAAGACAGCGAGCGGCTTCCTCTTTAGCCGCGCACAACCTCTCCAGCCGCGCACAACCTCATCCAGAGCGGGATGGATCCCGCTAGCTGTCTTGGCTTCGTTTTTAGCCGCAGGGCTGGGGCGGGGGAAGCCCAAGCTTCCCCCGATCCCAGCCCCCAGAACAGTCTGGGAGCGAAGGCGAGCCTGCCTTCGCTCCATAGGACGCACACACATTTCCCCTTCATTTTTGGAGGGGAAAAAGTGCATCCTATACAGAGAAAAATACGGTAAATGAGCAGCACAGCGTCCAGCAGAGAAAAATCCGGAACGTCACCCCACTTCGCCTGTTGGAACCTTGAAGAACTGCATCAGACTATGATTGATTGCTGCAGGATCTAGGAAATCTGGTTGCCCTGTCTTGCACCTTGGAGGAACTGCCTATAGGTTTACATTATAATACCTGACTACACCAGGAAGTTTTCCATGTGCATAGGGGACGCGGGTGGTGCTGTGGTCTAAACTACTGAGCCTTGGGCTTGCCACTCGGAAGGTCGGCGGTTCGAATCCCCACAACGGGGTGTGCTCCCGTTGCTCGGTCCCTGCTCCTGCCAACCTAGCAGTTCAAAAGCACGTCAAAGTGCAAGTAGATAAATAGGTACCGCGCCGGCAGGAAGGTAAACCACATTTTCGTGCACTGCTCTGGTTTCTCCAGAAGCGGCTTAATCATGCTGGCGACATGACCCGGAAAAACTGTCTGCGGACAAATGCCAGCTCCCTTGGCCAGTAAAGCGAGATGAGCGCCACAACCCCAGAGTCGTTGAGACTGGACTTAACTGTCAGGGGTCCTTTACCTTTTTTTATTCTGGTGCATATACTTTAGCATAAGTAATAGCAATTGATGTGGGCTGTATCTGTCAAGAAAACCTTGCTCGCTTGCTTGCCAGTTATTCCAATTCACAGGACAACATTTAAGGTGTCTAGCAGTGAAAGGTGTTGGGAGGGGGGACGGGACTCAAGGTTTGATTTACATTGGAGATGGCCCATCTCCCTCTGTGCCAGTGAATGTCTGTCACCTTTCCAAGTCTTCTGAAAGCTTTCCCCTGTTCAGCTGAGAAATGTGACATTGGCTCTCATTGGTCAGAAGGAGCCAGGTGTCACCAAATCCAATTCGGGCTCAGAGAGTCCTTTAAAAACTACTTCTGGCACAGAGATGGAAGGAAGACAAAGTCACAACCAGAGAAGAATGGCTGATAAAGAGGATGGATTACGTTGAAATGGTGAAAATGACCAGGAAAATCAGAAATCAAGAAGATAGAAATTTTACTAAGGAATGGGAAAAAATTATAATTCTATCTTGGAGAACACTGTAAACAACTAAAAACTTTGGCAGGATTGTAACACTTGTAATGAAACAAGAACTATGGGAAAACAGGGATTTTTAACAAAAAGGAGAATTTTATAAGATGCAGTTGAAAAAAGATTCAGGTGGTAGCCGCGTTTGTCTGGCGCAGTAGAAATATATTTTTTAAAAAATAAAAATTGTCTAGTAGCACCTTAGAGACCCAACTAAGTTTGTTCTTGGTATGAGCTTTCATGTGCATGCACACTTCTTCGGATACTAAAAGCTCATACCAAGAACAAACTTAGTTGGTCTCTAAGGTGCTGTGGGTTAAACCACAGAGCCTAGGGCTTGCCGATCAGAAGGTCAGCAGTTTGAATCCCTGCGAAGGGGTGAGCTCCCATTGCTCGGTCCCTGCTCCTGCCAACCTAGCAGTTCAAAAGCACGTCAAAGTGCAAGTAGATAAATAGGTAACACTCCGGCGGGAAGGTAAACGGCGTTTCCGTACGCTGCTCTGGTTCACCAGAAGCTGCTTAGTCATGCTGGCCACATGACCCGGAAGCTGTACACCGGCTCCCTCGGCTAGTAAAGTGAGATGAGCGCCGCAACCCCAGAGTCGTCCATAACTGGACCTAATGGTCAGGAGTCCCTTTACCTTTACCTAAGGTGCTACTAGTTGAAAAAAGGAATGTTGACGGAACTCATGGAGGGGCAGAGGGAAGTCCAATGGAATCCTTTGTATGTATGATTATGATTATTATTTGAGTATAAATGTAAACTGTAAAAATCAATAGAAAATTGGGGGAGGGGGAGAAAGTCCTTTTAAAAAAAAGGCTGTCCTATGCAGCATTGTCTCGTCCCATCATCAGGGGTACAGACCTTGACCACTCACTGGGAAACTGACCATCCTCACTGCTTACTCATAAGTAGACTGAGAACACTGTGGTGTTAGTAAATAGGTTAGAATTCGTCAAAATTTGGAGTGACTGGGTTATTTTTGTTTTTTGGTATTCTGTTTGAACATTTGCCTTACTCTCTTATTTGGGTAAAAATTATGAGAGAGGCAAACAACAGTATCTTCAGTGTGGGAGTCTGCTATAAACCTCCAAAGCCAGACAAAACATGGGATGACGTCTTATTATAGCAGATTACCAAACATTCAGAGATATAGTAGTCATGGGAGACCTCAGCTGATATCCGTCAGGACTCGAACTCTGCCAAAAAAAATGTAAGGTCCAACAAATTTCACAATTGCCTTGCTGAAAATTTCATTTCCCAGAAGGTGGAAAAAGCAACAAGAGGATCAACTATCTTGGACCTGATCCACACCAACGTAGTGAGAAGCTTGGGTGGAAGTGACCTACTGGGATCCATTATGCAAAGGGAGGGGAAAGCTGGATGTGGTCAGATGCACAAACTCTGGATTTTAAGAAAACAGATTTTTAAAATCTTAAGGAACTACTGGGTGAGATCCCTTAGTCAGAAATACTCAGAGAGATTAAGATGGATGGGAGTTTCTTAAAAGGTGATATATTGAAGGCACAGTTGCAAACAATTACGACAAGAAATTGAAGGAGGCGGCAGCTAAAGAAAGCAGTGTGGCTGCATAGGGAGCTTTCAGATGGGCTGGTGGGCTCTGAATGTTTTGACTACAATCCCTATCAGCATTGGGACTGATAGGAGTTCCAGTCAAAACATAAGCAGGGTGAAGGCTGAGATCCAGCACTTGTTCTTCAGTTGGAGAGACAATTACTTTCTGGGAATAGCAGTGGGACAGAGAGTTCTTCGTGCAGTAACCACATGCCCTTTCTTCATCTCCCCTCTTCTTCGCTTCCAATCCCCACCAATTGCTAATTGCAGCGAAAACCTTCTCTTAGCTGCTGCCTTGGCCAGTTTAAGTAACTCCATGCCATCATCTCCATAAAGTTGTTCCCGATCTCAACTGCAACCTGCCTGCTTATCTGATACACATTACCTGATACATTGTGTATCATCTGACCCATCTAATGCAATTATTAAGTTTGCAGATGACACCACCATAATGGGTTTAATAACAGGTGGAGACGAGTCAGCGTATAGAAAAAAATATCTACATGGTGCTTAGGGAACAATTTGCACCTTAATATCAGCAAGACAAAGGAGATGGTGTTGGACTTTCGGAGGAAGAGAGGAGAACTAGCCCCGCTGTACATCGGGGAGGGCTGTGTGGAAAGAGTCTCTTCCTTTAAATTCCTAGGAGTTTATCTCAGTGAAGACCTTACTTGGAAAATAAATACAACCCAGGTGGTTAAGAAAGCCCAACAGAGACCCATCTCCTCAGAGTATTGCGGAAGAACGATGTCAATCAACATTTGATGATCTCCTTCTACCAGTCAACAATAGAAAGTGTCCTTTCATACTGCATCATGGTGTGGTATGCTGGTTTGACATCATCTAAGGAACGGCTAAGGGAGCTGGGCATGTTTAGCCTGGAGAAGAGGAGGTTAAGGGGTGATATGATAGCCATGTTCAAATATATAAAAGGATGTCACATAGAGGAGGGAGAAAGGTTGTTTTCTGCTGCTCCAGAGAAGCGGACACGGAGCAATGGATCCAAACTACAAGAAAGAAGATTCCACCTAAACATTAGGAAGAACTTCCTGACAGTAAGAGCTGTTCGACAGTGGAATTTGCTGCCAAGGAGTGTGGTGGAGTCTCCTTCTTTGGAGGTCTTTAAGCAGAGGCTTGACAACCATATGTCAGGAGTGCTCTGATGGTGTTTCCTGCTTGGCAGGGGGTTGGACTCGATGGCCCTTGTGGTCTCTTCCAACTCTATGATTCTATGATTCTATGATTCTATTCTATGATTCTATCTGATAGGAAGTGCCTACAGAGGGTGGTGAATACAGCACAAGATATTATGGACTGTCCCGTGAATCCGCTGGATGAAATAGCGGAAGAACGTTGCCTCAGGGATGATTCACACCCTGGCCGGCACTTTCTTGATCTCCTGCCCTCAGGCAGAAGATATAGAAGCATGATTAGTCGCACCAACAGGGTAAAGAACAGCTTCTATCCATGGGCTGTTAGGCTGCTGAATGAAAAGATAACAACAGGCAACTGACTTTCAGGTTTGGTGTGTGTGTGTCAGTAAACGAGGGGAATTAAGACTAAGAGAGCTGAGTGGGGGGTGCTCGTGTAATCTCACTGTATACAAGTTGTACAAGTGACAATAACGCATTTCAAATTACCTGCAGTTCTGAGATGGACAGGATTTCTTGCCAGGTGAGCTCCATTTCTCCTTGGGGGCCAAGCTCCCCCCCTGCCAGGGGATTGTGCAAGGGGAGGAAGGTTCCCCGAGCCCATCCTTGCTGGGGTGGGAAAGGGGGCATTTTGTCAGGCCGGGCCCTGCCCAGCCTCTGCTCCAGCTGGGTCCCCCCAAAATTAGCCGTGGCAGCAAAGTTCTGCAATGCAAAAAGAGAAAACGGAGTGAGATGGAACTCAACCACTGTGAATATTTCATAGGAAGAAGCTGTTGGTCTATCTAGCTCCATTGTTATGTACTGAGTTGAATAGGATCCAAAATGCAGCAGTCTGATTGCTACATTTTGGATCCTATTGTTCTAGGACCAGTCTGACTGCAGCTGTTTGGAAGCATACAGCATACAGCTGTTTGGAAGCAGCCTAAATGAAGCACGGCCTTCCGAAAAGGGGAGCAGGGGTAAGAGACCATGAAGTCCACAGCTAAAATGACCTAACTGCACATCAGGGCAATGTGAACCAAGTGCATGCCTTAGCACACTTCCCAGAATCCTTTGCAACTATTTAAGGATGTTCCTTGGCAGGTACAGTGACGTGGCAGCAGTATCTGAAAGGTGAACATTGGAGAACCACTCATTTGCGCATCAAATCTATTTCAGTGTACAGCGGTACCTCAGGTTAAGTACTTAATTTGTTCTGGAGGTCTGTTCTTAACCTGAAGCACCACTTTAGCTAATGGGGCCTCCTGCTGCCACCTTGCACGATTTCTGTTCTCATCCTGAAGCCAAGTTCTTAACCGAGGTACTATTTCTGGGTTAGCGGAGTCTGGAACCTGAAGCGTATGTAATCTGAAGCATATGTAACCTGAGGTACCATTGTACATAACAACAACAGTTAAAAATAATAACCAGCTTTTGTTTCAGAGATGGGGGGGGGGCTGAAATAAAACCTCAACCCACACCTTCCACCCAGAAGAAAAATGCCACTACAGTGGTACCTCAGATTACATATGCTTCAGGTTACATACACTTCAGGTTACAGACTCCGCTAACCCAGAAATATTACGTCAGGTTAAGAACTTTGCTTCAGGATGAGAACAGAAATCGCGTGGCAGCAGCGGGAGGCCCCATTAGCTAAAGTGGTGCTTCAGGTTAAGAACGGACCTCCGGAACAAACTAAGTACTTAACCCGAGGTACCACTGTATATGGGAAACATGTAATGAACCTGGGCAATGAAAATGACAGATGAAAATGGACTGAATTAGATGTGAACACGGCTCTAGAGTTTTTGGAAGCACCAACATTTTCCGGGGACTTGGGGTAGCAGCCAGCAAGGTTAGTGGTAGACAGGAACCTGTGTTTGGGGTCTATTTCCTATAAACCTTCCACACACACACCCCGTGCTCCTTGTCTTAGTCTCAGCTTGGCATGGGTGGGACTGCCCATCTGGTCCTTGATAAAACTCCCCCCCCCCCCCGCTCCCCACAGGTTCTTACCTCAGAGCTGGCTCTGTGAATCTGCAGCGTGCAGCTGCCTGGATTAGACATTCATGAAGCCACGAGGGTGCCCAACTCTGTTTCTGCAAGGGAAAGATAAACAGCCTTCTTATAAGCCACAGAGCGCTTTCGCTGGAAAGAAGGGTTTGGGTTTGGGGGCTCTCTGGACTGGTAAGAGATCAATACAGGGAGGCAGAGCCATAGCTATGGGGAGGGGATAGCTGAGTTTTTTTGCCCTGGGTGTAGCCTCCAGAGGGGTGCGATTGAGGTGCTCTTTCTTTCTTTCTTTCTTTCTTGCTCTCTCTCTCTCTCTCTCTCTCTCTCTGTCTTTTCTGTTTTTGCTTTTGCCAAACTGGGTCTTTGACTCAGGTGAAATAAAGCTTAGTTTTTCCCCTGCAGGGAGGTAAAGAGCAGGTTAAAGAGAGAATGTTTCTGGGAATTTGGTGGGATAGGGCAGGGCAAGATTTGTCTTCCCACTTGTTATCTACTGAGTTGAATAGGATTCAGAATGCAGCAGTCTGATTAGTCCTAGAACAATAGGATTCAGAATGCAGTAGTCTGATTGGTCCGTAGGCCACCCAATCCTACTCCGGGTGGAAGTGAATCCGCAACCTGATTGGCCTACAGGAGAATCCCAGAATTAGCCAATCACATGGGGCCCATTGTGTAAATAATGTATATAAAGCAGACATTTCAGGGGAACTTCCATTCCTCCTCACTACTCTGAGCTGAATAAAGAGCATGAAATCCACACTCGACTCCGAGTATATTTCACCACTGCTTTTTCTTTCCTTCCTTCCTTCCTTCCTTCCTTCCTTCCTTCCTTCCTTCCTTCCTTCCTTCTTTCCTGACAAGCCTATTATGCAACAATAACCAAATACATCATTGTGCACCTAAGAACACTGCTGGAACAGACCCAAATTCTGTCGGGCCCTGCCATCCTCTTTAAGAGTGCTGGACTTTGGTTGGCGAAGACCTGGGTTCAATCCCTTACTTGGGCTGGTCCCTCAACTTGCCTATTCTTGTGACTTGAATTTAATTTTGGCTGCTTTTGATATTGTGGTTTAAATGGCTAAAACCCGTCGAAGGACCTGATGTTGAAGGGCAGGTAAAAAATTGGAGCAGCGGCCAGCCTGATACAACTTAGAGAAGTCCACAAGCAGGGCAGGAGAATGAAAGCCATCCATCCACACACACACCCTCTTATTGATCCACAGCATCTGGTGTTCAGAGGCATCGAAACTGGATTTTTGCACTAAGGAAGTGTGGAAATGCAGGAAAGAAATGATTAATGGAATGACAGGTAAACACACCACAAGCAGATCTGGGTGAATGCAGGATAAATGCTCATTATGACAGGGGTCAGCAAAATTTTTCAGCAGGGGGCCAGTCCACTGTCCCTCACACCTTGTAGGGGGCCAGAATATATATTTTTTGGGGGGGATGAAAGAATTCCTATGCCCCACAAATAACCCAGAGATGCATTTTAAATAAAAGGACACATTCTACTCATGTAAAAACACGCTGATTCCTGGACTGTCCGCGGGCCAGATTCAGAAGGAGATTGGGACAGATCCGGCCCCCAGGCCTTCGTTTGCCTACCCATGTTGTATGATCACCATGCAAACAAATCAGGATAAATGCTCAACGAAGGCTGAATATAATAATCCACATAAGCTTTGTGCAAGCAAATAAGGATGAACGCTTTAGAAACAGACTGTCTGAGGTAGTCCTGAGGCCGCTTTCCTATGTCCCTGCGAAAGTAGAAAGCAGCCCCAAAGATACTGCCCCATAAAGTGTTAAGATTCCACAGCCCAGACTGCTCTGCTCCTGCAGCGGCTTCCAAGATGAGAAAGTACCCGCCTGCTCATTGCGCACGTGCCCACGATGCTGTCAGAGTTGATTTATGACCCCGCAAAGGCAATCTGGAGAAGCAGATTGGTTGTGTCTGGGTTGCACCGGCAGCAGCCCTTCTGACTGAATGAAAGAGCATCATTGGGAGTTCTTGCTTCTTCCATGATTACCATCAAAGGCTGATAACAATGGAATGCAGCTGTTTCTGGGGTATGGCGAGGCAACTGCCACAGAAGAAGAATCTATCTTTAAGCACAGGGATCCCCAGCTGAACCGTATTCTCCGCCATGTCTATATACAGTGGTACCTCGGATTAAGAACTTAATTCGTTCTGGAGGTCTGTTCTTAATCTGAAACTGTTCTTAACCAGAGGTACCACTTTAGCTGGGATGCAGGTGGCGCTGTGGGTTAAACCACAGAGCCTAGGGCTTGCCGATCCAAAGGTCGCTGGTTCAAATCCCCGTGACGGGGTGAGCTCCCGTTGCTCGGTCCCTGCTCCTGCCAACCTATCAGTTCAAAAGCACGTCAAAGTGCAAGTAGATAAATAGGTACCGCTCCAGCGGGAAGGTAAACGGTGTTTCCGTGCGCTGCTCTGGTTTGCCAGAAGCGGCTTAGTCATGCTGTACGCCGGCTCCCTCGGCCAATAAAGCAAGATGAGCGCCGCAACCCCAGAGTTGGCCATGACTGGACCTAATGGTCAGGGGTCCCTTTACCTTTACCTTTTACCAGTTTAGCTAATGGGGTCTCCCACTGCCGCCGCACGATTTCTGTTCTCACCCTGAAGCAAAGTTCTTAACCCGAGGTACTATTTCTGGGTTAGCAGAGTCTGTAACCTGAAGCGTCTGTAACCTGAAGCGTCTGTAACCCGAGGTACCACTGTATATCCTGTGATTCCAGGCAACCGCACACTGAGAAAGCCCATGAATGCTTCGTTGGCTACTGGATTTCCGAGAATCTCAGTACTGTACCAAGCTTTTTTTCCCCCTCCAAAAAACCCCGCTAAGTTACTAGACCTTATGGTTGCAAAAGTATGCTTAAAAATAAGTGGGCGAAATTTCATCAGAAGCCTGAGGAGCTGTTGAATAAGATTTCCTGTGGTTAAGGGTGGAAATGTACCACTCCCCTTGATTAACAAAAGAATGAATTTTGCAACATTCGTCCCTGTGTTTGCGCATGGAATATGCACAGTCCTGTGTTCCCAGGCCTCTTCTCCCCTTTTGAGCTATAAAAACACAACCCCAGCTACAATATATCACACCGTAGCGGGCAAGGCTGTGGCCAGGTGGCTTTTGCCGCTGCTCCCTCTGCTGCCCAAGCACAAAGGCTGCATACACATTAATAATAATAATAATAATAATAATAATAATAATAATAATAATAATTTATACCCCGCCCTCCCCAGCCAAGGCCAGGCTCAGGGCAGCTAACAAGCAATAATAAAAACAAGTTGAATGAATGCAACTTAAAAACAAAATTAAAATACAACATTAAAATATTGAGACATTAAAATATTAAAATGTAGCCTCATCGCAGGAGGAGAAGGAAAGGAAAAAAGAAAGAGATGGAGGGAATCAAATTGGCTCCAAGCCAAAGGCCAGTGTTGAAAAGGCCCTGGCTCTGGTTGAAGCTAATCTAACTTCCTTAGGGCCCGGGACTACTAGGGTGTTGCTGTTTATGGACCTTGAGGCTCTCCATGGGGCATACCGGGAGAGGCGGTCCCGTAGGTATGAGGGTCCTAGGCTTTGAAATTACCAGCTTGAAATGCAGTTAGGTCGTCCTTTTCCCCCATTCGATTTGAAGCTGGTTTAGGGAGAGATCCAGTATTATCTCAGAAATGAGAAGATAGATATAATTTGTGGCTAGCACCATGTGTACTATCATTTCCCATAGCAGTGGTGGAAGTGTGCTGGATGTAAATGAGAGGGTGCACAGTGTTGACGGGCAATTTCAAGGCCCCTCTCCTTTCTGGATCTTCAAACCAGACTTGGGCAGGGCAGCTCTTTACACACCCTAACAGCCCTTCAAACCAGCCTCAAATAAATTCAGTGGATTCCCCTTGTAGATCATACAAATTAGCAGCCTGCTTGGAAATTGCCATTAAAATTAAAATTTGGTGGAGGGGGGGATGGGAGTGAGAGTCAGGCATGTTGGCTCTCTCTGGGGCCAACCTCTAAGTCAGGGGCCAGCAAACTTTTTCAGCAGGGGGCTGGTCCACTGTCCCTCAGACCTTGTGGGGGGCCAGACTGTATTTTGGGGAGGGGGGGAAATGAACAAATTCCTGTGCCCCACAAATAACCCAAAGATGCATTTTAAATAAAAGCACACATTGTACTCATGTAAAAACACCAGGCAGGCACCACAAATAACCTAGAGGTGCATTTTAAATAAAAGGACACATTCTACTCATGTAAAAACATGCTGATTCCCAGACCTTAGTCGAAAACCACCCTTAGCCACGACTAACTTTTGCTAGATTGAGCCTACTGTTTCAAAATGTTGTTGCCCACTCCAGAGCCTGGTGGGTTACTAACCTATCTATATTTCTGCAGGAAGCTGGGAGGGGAAGCATATGCCAAGAAAGATAAAATACAGAGTGGGACCATGTCAGTACTTCCTGCTCATCCAAGGATTTGAAATTGCTCCTCTAAGGAAGGTACACGCAGGGACAGCAGAAACCTCCTAGGCAGCCGCATGCTGTGTTCGCTCCTGCTTGCCAGGTGGCTGAATTGGGAAAGTCACTGAACCTTGTCTAGCTGGCTGGCATCTTTGAGAGGACTGAGAAAACCTGTGTGCTAAAGCAGGGATGGGAAACCTCAGACCACATATGGACGTGGCCCTCTAGTCCTAGCTCTCTGGCCCTTGGGACTCTCCACAGGCCACACCCTCCAACCAGTCTTACTTTGCATGTTTTTGCCTGGCTGGAATTGTCCTTGAACGCTGGCAATGCATAGAAAGTAGCCTACTGTATAAAGGTAAGTAAAGGTAAAGGGACCCCTGACCATTAGGTCCAGTCGTGACAGACTCTGGGGTTGCGACTCTCATTTCGCTTTACTGGCCGAGGGAGCCGGCGTAGAGCTTCTGGGTCATGTGGCCAGCATGACTAAGTCACTTCTGGCGAAGCAGAGCAGCACACGGAAACACCGTTTACCTTCCCGCCAGAGCGGTACCTATTTATCTACTTGCACTTTGACATGCTTTCAAACTGCTAGGTTGGCAGGAGCAGGGACCGAGCAATGGGAGCTCACCCCGTCGCGGGGATTCGAACCGCCGACCTTCTGATCGGCAAGTCCTAGGCTTTGTGGTTTAACCCACAGCGCCACCCGTATAAAGGTAGAATTCACATTAATTGCTCTCCCCACTTTCCCCTCTATCCCTACACACCGGTCTGACACGTGGCCCCTAGCTGGTTGCCTAGAAGACAGTGTGACCATTAAACCCATCCACTGTCAAGATGGAAGATTATCATCATCATTATTTATTTTTATGCCACCTATCTGACTGGGTTCCCCCGGCCACTCTGGGCGGCTTCCAACAAATTAAAACACAATACAACATCAAACATTAAAACCCTCCCTGAACAGGGCTGCCTTCAGATGTCTTCTAAAGATAAGATAGCTGCTTATTTCCTTCACATCTGAAGGGAGGGTATTCCACAGGGTGGGTGCCACTATCGAGAAGGCCCTCTGCCTGGTTCCCTGTAACCTCACTTCTCGCAGTGAGGGAACCGCCAGAAGGCCCTCGGAGCTGAATCTCAGTGTACGAGCTGAACGATGAGGATGAAAATGCTCCTTCAAGGCCAAAGCTGTTTCGGGCTTTAAAGGTCGACACCAACACTTTGAATTGTGCTCGGAAATGTACTGGGAGCCAGTGAAGATCCTTTAGGACCGGTGTTCTATGGTCCCGGAGGCTGCTCCCAGTCACTAGTCTGGCAGCCATGTTCTGGATTAGATGTAGTTTCCAAGTCACCTTCAAAGGTAGCCCTATGTAGAGCGTGTTGCAGTACTCCAAGCAGGAAATAACCAGCCCATGAACCACTCTGGCGAGACAGTGCGTGAGCAGGAAGGGTCTCAGCTGGTTTACCGAATGGAACTGGTAGACTGGCTTATCTATGGGGACATAGCCACAACTTTCATGTTACTATTGTGACCACTATTGGCCATTGCCAATCAGAACAGAGTAGAAAATAGCCCAAGGGTTCCCTTTGGACTGCAACATGCTGCTGACACAACAATAGTTCATCATCGCTGGAGTCATCCTGGACCGCCTACAAATCCTTCTCCTTTATTATATGTCAGGTGATGATTTTCCAGTGTTACCACATTATTGCCTTTTGGGGGAGCGCCCATGCGCTATACCACAACGAAAGTGGAACAATAATCATCGTCTTACTTGTAGGCCGCCTTTCCATAGTTAAAACCATGCTCAAGGCGGCTTACGATGCGAAAAGATTTACATAATTACAAACATAGCAAAAGTAGTCATAAACCATGAAGTAAAACACACCAGAAAGTACACAACCCAACTGAACAATCTCCACATAATATCTGAAAATAAAGATACAAAAAAAGTATACATAGCAGCAGCACAACCCCCTAACCAGGCTTCCTCAACCTCGGCCCTCCAGATGTTTTTGGCCTGTCAGGGGTGATGGGAACCCTCAAAACATCTGGAGGGCTGAGGTTGAGGAAGCCTGCCCTAAACAATATCCCAGCTCAAGGGAGTGTTCAGCAGCTTCAGCTTTCGTAGCTGGAGTCAGTCAGTCAAAAACAGAAATTTAGCCTAGTTTGGGACCACCCATTGCACTGTAGTAAAATCGCACCACGTGACTGCAATCAGCTAATAATAATTTAATGATAATTTCATTATTTCCACCTCGCCCATCTGGCTTATGCATCTTATGCTATGTAAGGCTTTAAAAAATTCAATTTCCTTGCCAACAGAAAGGGAGAGGGATTAGGCAGAACTATTAAAAACCACAGTCTACTCATGTGATTGAAGTGCAGGGATTTGGGCATCTTTTTCAAAGCAATTGTTATATGAAATATTGCTCTTCCAACCCCTCCCTCCACACTGCCAAGAATATTTGTGGTATGAAAAGTTCCAAGATTTGGTTAACATCAAGAAATATAAACCTATTTAAAAATAACTATGAAAAAAATTTGGCTTGAGGTAAAAAGAAATTTAGAAATATGGAGTAGAATGAATCTTTCATTGTTAAAAGTTCCAAGATTTCAGGGGGATGTCATGGGATTGCACTGATTGGAGTTGAAGCAGTACGCTCGCCCCAAAACTTTTGCAGGTGTAAACAGTATCAGAAGTGGGGTCAACGGTAGCCACCCCAGCACCATCGTAAGCACAAATCTTCATGAAAGCACAATGGAAAAGACATCTTTGCTGGTCCACTACACATCTCAGGCCAGACTCACAGCCTTTCTCAACCTGTGGGTCCACAGATGTTGTTGAACTACAACTCCCATCACCCCTAGCTAGCAAGGCCAGAGCTCAGGGATGATGGGAGTTGTAGTCCAAGAACATCTGGGGACCCACAGGTTGAGAACCACTAGGCTGGAGTCTTCAAGCCCAGTAGCCTCTGTATGTGTGTGTGTGTTGCATTTGTGATGCCCCCACCCTCCATTGATTTGAGCCATCCATCCCTCTGGCCATGCTCTCCAATGTAACTGTGGTGCGCTCCTTCTCCCTGGGGACATTTATGGTGTGTGATGCGCTCATAGGCAAAGTACTGTTATTGTGGGAGGCCCCAAGGATCTGAAACTGCTCTGCTCTCTTCCTCCCGCCCACCCCACCCCGGAACCTCTCTCTGTGGTCTGCTATCGCCTCTCGCCCTTTGCTTTTCCCGTGCGCATTTCAACAGAGACTGGCCCTGCAATTTCCGATCCTCTGCTGGGATGTTGCATAAGAAGAAGAGGGGGAAAACCTCCACACCCAGAGCTCCTGAGACACCTCAAGTCTTCTGAGGCCAACGGTGGTGATGGGGGAGAGAAAATGCATTAATATGAGCAAGGCTTCAGCAGGATTTCTAAACTACAAATTCCTCAGCTTGTTTCTCCCATCCCAACAATAGGTAACCTGGCAAGTTAGGAAAACGAAGAGGCGATGGAGGATGCAAAAACTGCCAGCATTACGGGTGCAAAATGGAATCACCAAATGTAGATGCAGAATACCTCTGAACACCAGATCTTGGGCCCAAACAACAGGGGATGAGCATTTGTGTTATGTGTCTACCAAAATCTTTTGACAATGACGTGAGGCTAGACTCAGTAAGGTGGCTCTTAGTTCTTGTTGACTTGTGGCATTCATTATCACATGGTGTGCTGGTTGTCCCCTAGGTTGGTTTTTTTAAGTGTTGGATTAAACCCGGTGTGAGGAACCTTTGGTCTTCAAAGGTTCAGATGTAGCCCTACAAGTCTCTTTCTCCAACTCTCAGGAAGAAGAAGAAGAGTTTGGATTTGATATCCCGCTTTATCACTACCCTAAGGAGTCTCAAAGCGGCTAACATTCTCCTTTCCCTTCCTCCGCCACAACAAACACTCTGTGAGGTGAGTGAGGCTGAGAGACTTCAGAGAAGTGTGACTGGCCCAAGGTCACCCAGCAGCTGCATGTGGAGGAGCGGAGACGCGAACCCGGTCCCCCAGATTACGAGTCTACCGCTCTTAACCACTACACCACACTGGCTCTCCCCAGTCTACTACCCCTCTCCCCAAGCCCCCAGGCCACACGCCTCTGCTTCACGCCCTGTGTATTTCTGCCTGGCTGGAATGTGTTACTGAACTGCGATCATGCCTCTCACTTGCCTGGAAGGAAGACAG